GGGGGAAGGACCTGGGGGCGGGGGGGGCTTTCCCGGACCACCCAGAGCCACCGAGGCTGCAGGTGGAGCGATGGGGAGGACCTGCCTGGAGTTGAGCTCCACTGAGCTTCAAACCATGGTGGGGGACCCAGCTGGCTTTGGGGGGGGACTGTGGGGGCCACATGCTGGTCAGCGAGGCCAGGCAGGAGAGGGGGGCACTGGGAAGGCAGGAACTTGCTCTGCTTGGCTGTGAACAGGGTTCACAGACTGGTCGTCACACACACCCCCCCACACCCCCGCTTGCTTTGCCCTATGCTAGCCCCCTCTGAGCCCCTCTGCCCACCCAGGCAATCTCTGCCTGTTTTTTACTGTTTTCACCCTAAAACAGCAGTGCTGGCAGAGGGCATCCACGGAACAGGGCAACAGTCAGGGTTTGCCCTGGCCCCATCTGCCCAGCGTCACCCCTTCTCCCGCAGAGGACATCGGGGCCGTGTGGGACCCCACAGCCACCCAGAGTGGCCTTGTGCCAACCCCAAGGGTGGGGGACACCCAGCAGTGTCTGACCATGGGGCGAGGGACAGATGGACAGACAGTGGGTGACGGCAGCCCATGTTCACACCCACAGCACCCCATGGGTGCATCCCTGTGGGCAGAGGCGCTGGGGACAGCAGAAGGGCCAGGGACAGGGGGTCCTGAACCAGGAAACTGGCAGCCAGCACTGGTGGCAGTGGGGTGGCTCCCAGCGGCCGTCACTCTCACCTGTGTCTTCGCTTCTTCCGCGAACCCGACTCAGACCTGAGGGATGGAGAGGAGGCAGAGATGAAGGAAACACGCTGAGATGGGCCGCAGGGAGCAAAGGCTGGGCAGCCCGAGGGAATGGGGACAAGGACAGGGGGGTGGCCCTGCAACAGGCTGCTGGCTGGGGCTGGTGATGGCTGCTGTGAGGAGGTGACAGCCCCATGAAGAGCCGTCAGCATCCATCCCTGTCCTTGCCTCCACCCCGCCCAAGGGCCTGGGCAACCACCAACCAGCCCCCCTGTTCCCAACCAGCCCCCCTGTTCTCAGCCAGCCCCCCTGTCCCCAACCCGATGCAGTGTCCATCCTACCTGTCACGTCTGTGTTTCTTTCCAGTCTTCTTTTTCTTTTCTTTGCGGATAGGTGAAGAGCTGTCGCAGCTGGGTGAATGGGAAGTGGGTACCCTTGAGGTGGGAGCAAGGGACTCCCCATCCACATGGCCCAGGGGAGTCCTGTCCCACTGCCCCCAGGCACCCCGCTTCCCCTGACCACCCATGAACATCAGATGGAAGTTATTTCCTGGGGGGGGATTTGGCGTGGGGGATAGAAAGGGGCTTTTGGCAGAAGGGTTCTGTCTGCCCTGGGTGCCAGAGCACCTGAATCCCGCTGTCTCCCATTGCCACCTCGTGGGCTCTGCAGCCTCCAGCAGGAGACAGGGTGGCCAATTCCCACTGGGATTTCAGAGGGCGACACTGGGTGGTGGACGCCAGCCCGTGCCCGGTGGCCTTGCATGCCCGGCGGGGACCCTGCAGCCCACCCAGCCCGGTGAGCACTCACCTGCGCTCCGAGCCGGGTTTCCTCTTTTTGCTGCCATGGGGAAGGCAGAGAAAAAGGGACATTAGGGACAGTATCCTGCCCAGGCAGCCAGCACTAACTGGGGAGGGGACCAGCGGGTAGACGGAGCAAGACCCTTCAGGGAGCCCAATCCTGCCCGGTGCTGTGCCCTGCAGCAGGCAGCTCCTTCCCAGCATGGGCCAGGCAAAGCCCCATCAGCGCATGCAGTTGGGGGTGGGCTGGCGGTGCGTCCCACAGCGCTGCGTGTGTGTGCACACACGTGTGCATGTTGCACCACCGGTGCATGCAGATGCCTTGCACCTCTTGAGGGCGCACGTTTGGGGGTGCACTTCCCCCCCCCAAAGTGGGGACTTGCCCTCTGGAGCCTGGGGAAGGGCTGAGCTGGGTGGAGAGCTGCCCTCCCGGGAGAGGGGACAGCGCAGGGACAGCTGGGCACTCACCGGCTCCGGCGGTGACCTGATTTCTTTTTTTTTTTCTTCTTGGGAGGAGGAGAGGTGGAGCTGCTCGAGCGTCTTTTCAGCCTGAGGGAGAAAGCAGGCAGGGTTGGAGGAAGAAGGGATGGCCCCCTGGCCTCTGTGTCCCCTGGGCACATCCACTCCCCACAATCCCTGCTACGGGTCTGGCCAGACCTGTACTCGTGGTGGCTGCTGTCCTCGCGGTAGCACTCAGCCGAGCAGTCGCACTGCAGCAGGCAGCCCTCGCCGTAGTCAGGGTACTCCACCGCGTACTCCTCCCCATCCACCCCGTGGTGGTTTTCTATCACACTGCCAAAGAATGAAGCGCAGGATTAATTTGGGGCTCCCTGTCCCCCGTCTCCCACCGGCGTGGCTGGGAGGCAGCCTGGGACAGCCGCAGCGCAGCTACAGGAGCTGGGGGACAGCCTCTCTGCCACAGCATCCCCAGGGCACCTTGGTCACGTCACTTGAGGTCCGCACCCAGTGAAACCCTGTGGTGGCAAGTCTTCTCCGGGTCTTCCTGGGGCTCCCGTCCCTGCAGAAATCCCCACCAAGCTGGCACAGGGACACCACAGGGCTTGGGCCACAATCTCCCCACAGAGTGCAGCCTCAGCATTATTAGGAGCCCCTTTTGGCATTGCCCAAGTGCTGGGTCTGAGCGGGGGACTGGGGCCAGCCCAGGTAGGCGGCAGGGCCAGATTAGGGTGAGAGGAGTTGGCAAGAGACTCAGGGAATTCAGGCAATTGTCCGCCCATTGGCGGGAGCTGTGCAGGATGATCCGGGCTTTGAGGCCAGCACCCCAGTGTGCCACCGGCTGGGCGCTTCAGGCTGGTGATGGGTGATGTCCCCCCTGGGCCAGGTGAGATGGGGTGGGGACACCTCAGACCTGGAGCCATCAGGGTCTCCTCTCCCTCCTGAGTGACTTCATCAGCATTAATTTTTCCTGCTGCCATGGAAACTGGTAGGAGGTTGCCATTGACTACCAGGGCTGCGGGCAGGGCTTGGCAGAGGCCTGGCAGCTGGACTGGGCAGGTAGGAGAGACCTAGGACTCCTGCCTAGCCTCTCCCTCCCACCTCCCCAGTCCTCCTCTGCCATCAGTCCCAGGAGCAGCACCAAACCCCACTGGAAGCCTCTTGTTTGTGCTGGGTAGGTCTAGGACTTCTCACCCCGGGAGGGACGTGGCCACCCAGGCATTCTGGAGGGAGCTGTAATGGATGGCGCCATGCCTGGGGGGTGCCTGGCATCACACCAGCCTGGGTGCTTGCTTCCCAAGGGAGATCTGCCCTCAGAAATCCAGTGTGGGCTCCTCAGCCCTTCCCAGGCCGGAGGCGTGCGGCTGGGGATGCTGATGGAGAAGCGCAGTCCCCAGAGCACCGGTCCCTTGGCAGCTGGGCCAGCACTGCCACCAAGTGAAGGGACACTCCCAGTCCCAGTCGGCAGATCTGAGAGCGGCTAGTGTTGCCATTCCTGGTCACAGGCAAGCCCTGGGCTGTTTAACCCAATTAAAAATGGTTTGGACCAAGACTACAAGTGAAGCATCCTCCTCCTGACCGCAGATGATCGCTCAAGCGTGTCTCAGGCTCCCTCCTGCACCGCAGCCATGGTTTTCTGGGTCCTCTCCAAGTGACTCCTGCTTTGGCCATGCCCCAAGGGCAGGAACAGCCTTTCAACCACCCACCCAACCATGGGAAGGGGAAAAAAAGAGGAAAAGAGAGGAGCAAGTGGGGATAATTCCCTGTTGGACCCTGCTTCGTGAGCGGGCAGTGCTCCACACCAGAGCCTGCTGCCAGCATCTCACGCATTAGCTGTGCTCAGTGGCTCAAGACAGGCTTGTGCTGCCCCAGTTATCCCTCCCCGCTTGGCACACGCTCACGTTTGTTTTCAATCACACCAGCCTGTCCATCAAGCAGTTACTCCATGAGGATGGGGCTGTGCACGCACAGAGGTGGGAGCTGGAAGAGCACAGAGAGCAAGGCGGGGACTCAGGTGGTCACGGCTCTGCTCTCTGCCTCAGTTTCCCCTGGGGACTTCTGCAAATGATGCTGAGCTTTTGCATCTGCTTTGAAACAAGACCAGCTGGTTCAGACTCAGTCCTGGCAGTCAATGACTGAGCTGTAAAAGTCCAGAGAGGTGCTGGAGCAGGACCTGCCCATGAGATGTTTGGCTGAGTACTCTCCCAGCCACTACAAGGGCTGGGGCTCTTTACTTAAAGTTTATTTAACTCCTGTGTCCAGCCTCTTCAACCAGCGCAGACCTTTTGAACCCAGGACATCCTTTGGCAGGGACTTGGGCAGCTCAGGTCCTCGTTGCTTGAGGAGCCACCTCCTTTGGACCCAGCTCCTACCAGCCTCCTCCAGGCGCCTCCGGCTTTGCTCTCCTCCAAGAAATCCTTTGCTTTGAGACTGCTTCTTCCAGCTCAGCACTATTATTTATAGCCCCTGGGCTAATCTTTAATGATTACCTTTCCTTCTGCAAAAGCAAGCCCACAAAGGTGACAGCTAGGACTGCCTGGGTAACCTTAACACACCTTTGGCTTCCCTATGTGCTCGTTACAGCCCCAGCCCGAACGAGCCTGCCCAGGAAGATGCCCTGGAGATGACTGATGCCCCCACGGGCAAAGGCCACTTGTTAACACATCGGGCTTGATGCTTGATGCTCAGTGACCTGAGCAGGTTGGTTTTCCCCATGCTTTGTTTTTTCCTGCCTGGAAGAGGACTCTGAAGGCTTCATGATGCCCCAGGGCCATGTGCCCCATCCCGGGTGGGCACAACCAAGCCAAATCCCTCCCTGCTTGGCATGCCAGGCAAAGCAGTGGGAAGAAGGCTCTCCCTGCCGCCACGGCTTCCCTGCCTCCCCCCTTGCCCTGATTTCCTGACCCTAATGAAGCATTAATATTCAGTGAACCTGCAGCATCTATTCCTGTCCCAAGTGACCTGGTTTCCAGGCTGATGGATGGTGCACGCCAGGCCAGCCACGCTGCCTGGGCCATTAAGCATCACACAGATAAATCATCATTGATCCAATGCAGACCCTCACAAGGCTGGGGACAGTCCTGCATGGGGTAGGAGGAGCAAGTGGCATGTCCCCAGCAGAAGCTGGGCTGCTTTGGACAGCTAATCTGAGCCCCAAGCCCAGCCCCAGGGCAGAAGTAGCCCCCAGGGACCAGGCAGCATGGGGGCGATTAGGAGGTAGAGACACAGGGCAGCACCTCCTTGGAGAAGCTTCTTCCATGGGGTTCCCTGGGATCATACCAGCCTGATGGAGACACAAGTTCTGGGTCTACCCAGGTGAGAAACAGGCTCGAGCCTTGCCCATCCAGCCTGGGCCCCTTACAGCAGAAATTATTATTATTACTATTATTAATAATTATTATTGCTAACACTGATATTTCTAGGGTTACAGAAGAGCAGCCAACCTGCCGAACCATCGCCAGATGAGCTGAGTTGAGCCAGCTTCACACCCAGAGACAGAAGGACTATTCTACATTATGGAGTTAAGAGCAAGAATTGGAAACCGGTGCCCTCACCTGGCTGAAGGCAGAGGCTGCGATTTCAGCCCCCAGGAGAGCAGGAGAGGTGACCCAAAGAGGCAGGAGCAGGCAGAGGTGAGGCACAGCAAACCTGCGGCTTGGTCTCTGCCTCTGGCTAGGGGGGTGAGCCAAGCATCGAGACCTTCAGCACTTGGCTCCATCATTTGGGACAGGAGCATTGCAATGCTGGCATCTCTGTAGAGCACCCTGAGGTCTCCAAAAGACCGGTGCAGGACTACCTTTAAGCAATCCAGAGGCAGGATGCTGCCACAGAGAGGCAAACTCTGCCTCCAACCAACCGACCTACTGACCAACCAACAAACCAACAATCAAATCGTCCATCCATCCATCCATCCATCCATCCATCCATCCATCCATCCATTCATCCATCTATCCCATCCATCCATCCATCCATCCATCCATCCATCCATCCATCTGTCTATCCCATTCATCCATCTATCCCATCCATCCATCCATCCATCCATCCATCCATCCATCCATCCATCCATCCATCCATCTGTCTATCCCATCCATCCACCCATCCATCCACCCATCCATCCACCCATCCATCCACCCATCCATCCACCCATCCACCCGTCTATCCCATCCATCCATCCATCCATCCATCCATCCATTCCTCCCTTCCTCCCTTTCTCCCTCCCTCCCTATATACCCTCTCTATGTCCATCCAGCTACCCAGCCATCCCCACATACACCCTCTCTGTATCAATCCATCCACTCACACACCCATGCACACTTGGAGGCAAGCTGGGACGAGCCTCTCTGGGATGGGAGATGGGCAGGACACACAGACAAGCCAACTCGGAGCTGCCTCACTTACATTTGGCGCCCATGCTGGTCCTCCCTGGTGAGCACGCCTTCCTTCTCCATCAGCATTTGCCGGAAGGTCCCCACTTTCTGCCGGATCTCCTCTTCGGAGTACCTGGATGGGCAAAGACGTGGTCAGGGGTGCCCTGGCCAGAGCGTGGGCTCCCCAGCGACCTGCTGAGGACCTCCGTACCTTCAGGAGTGACATGTGGCCAAGGGGCTTCTCAGGAGAGGTGGCATGGTGACAGTCATCAGGGCCTGGAGGAGAGCAGGTTCCTCTGCTTTGTCCCCTGCCACCACCCTCCATGCCCTCCTCTCTCCTGCCTGCCTGCTTGGCAGAGAAAGGGACATCAGGAAGGGATAAAAGAAGATTACCATGAGGTTGCCATTCCCTGCACTGCCCCAGGTTTTTGGGCACATCCCCACCAAACTCCCCCGGCAGTGCCAGCATCACAGCCAGTGATGCCAGGGTTCTTGCCTGGCACCTCCCTCCCACTGTGAGCCTCCCTCACTTGTCCCCGGGCTGTGCTGGGGCCCCAGCAGCCAAGCCAGCTCTGCGCTAACGCCAAATGCTGACTCAGGCCGCTGCAGGGTTATTAACGAGAGACACTAATCACTTTGTCCCTGGCATCTGAGAACAGCCGCGGCAAACCACGGCACTCCAGCCGTCCCCGAAGTGTCCCCAGGGAGGGACGGGTGACAGCCCCAGGCGGGCAGTCCTGTGCTGCATCCCATGGCTGCACAAGGACACCTGAGCATCCCCCTCGACTGAAAACATCTAAACGGAGGGACATAGTGAAGGGACCCACAGTGCTCTCAGGATCATACCTGGGGTCAGGGCAAAGGGAGAGGGATCCCATGTCACCACCACGCTGCCACCCTGGGAGGGAAGGGGTCAGGCTCTGTGTGCATCCCTGTCCTCACCTACACCATCTATGGGGGCCGCTCACAGCCCATCCTCACCATCGTGTCCCGTCAGCACCGCTGCTAACGAGCCCAGAAAACCAGGTGTCACAGCCTGGCCAAGCCCTGTGGTCCCCAAGGCTGGCACCTTGCAGGACCCACGCTGGGGACAGTGACGCCTCTCACAGAGCTGTGGGTGCCCCTGGGTGACCCTGGGTGCAGAGAGGCACATGGTAGCTCCCATCCTCCCCTCCCATGCCCATGAAGGGGAACAGTGAGGAGAGGGGAATTAATATTAACGAGCTCATTTCCACTGAAAGACTCTCATTAATTCCCCAGCCAGCCAAGACTCCTGCACACAGAGGCAGCTCAGCTGCTTCCCTTTGCCTTGCACCCTGCCTGGGTATGGTGGGCCCCAGAAACAGGGCAGCACCCCCAAAAGCTGCTCTGCACCTCGATGGTGGCGCAGCCAGCTGGGCAGAGTGGGCCATCCCACAAGGATGGAGCTGCCAGCCCCGGCCATCCCGTGGACATCAGCCAGCCAGCAGCAGCAGGAAGATGTCTGCCCAAGAAGATGGGCATTTGCTGCAGCATATTATGAATGCAGTCAATGCTCTCAGAGAGGGGAGATGAGGCCAAACAGGAGGTGACAGATGGGCCACCGTGGCTGGGCCATTAGCAAATCTGTGAGGGGCAAGGCCAAGGTGAGAAGCCCCCCTTCATCCAGTCATCCTGTGATGGAGTCAAGAGTATCCCACCGGCCCCTTCCCTCCTGCACCCCCCAACACTGCTTATAACCCCCTTAGAGAGTTTTTGGTTTTGCATTTAACATACAGAATGGATTTGGGAAAGAAAGAAAAACTGCTGACGCTTCTTTTCCAGACAAGAAATCCAGCCTGCAGGCAGGGAATAACGGCACAGGCAGCCCGGAGCGAGCAGCAGCTGGATACAGCACAGGCAGGAGGAGCCATCCGTGTTTAAGGAATCAAGGGAGTGCTCAAATCCCTGCAAAACCCCTTTTGCTGTCACACCCGTTCATCTCAGGGGCCCTGCCCTTGGCAATAACTCCCCCGAGGCCGTGGCCACGATGTGGCTCCCAGCCCAGGCAGAAACCTCAGGGGTTCAAAGCGTCTCCCGTGTAACCCCCCCAGAGAGCCCCAGTGCGGAGGGGAAGAGCAGGCGGAGGATTAACCAGGTTGACCAAGATTATTACTGTAATTATATTATCATTTCGTTGTATCACCGTCATCGTTGTTATTAATAGCCTTAATAACAGCAAAGGCAATTATAGCAATAACAACAATACCAGTTGCAATATTGCTATTACCTATCGCAGTAATGATACTACTAGTAGTAAGATCCCTAGTAGGGCACGGGAACCCAACAGGAGGCTCTGGGCTCCCCAAGGCACCAGGTCAGCCTTATTTATTTCCATAACGACAAATTAGGCACAATCATTATTCCAGTCTGTGTGAGACAATTTAATTCTAGGTCACGCTTGTGCTCTTAATGAAAGCCTTGGCGAAGCCTTCCCTCAATCCATTTTCCTTCTCCCCAGCTGATACCAGTCCCCGTCTACCGGCGTGTGCTGAAGAATTCGCTCCATCCATCAGGTTTTAGCGAGCTGTCAGGGGGATCAGACTGCTCGGCTGGTGCCAGAGCACAGCCATGGATCTGGTGGGGGTTTGGGGGTCTCGTCGCTGGCCCCCCAGCCCCTCCTGCCCACCCAGGCTGGGATGCTCTCCAGCCTCTCAGGTTTTCTCCCAGCCCTTTGCTTCCCCAGGGGAGAGCAAACGCTGGGGAGCAGCTCGTGGTGCCTGGCCAGGGGCACAGCTGGAGGTGGCAGATCCTCTCACCCCAAAACTGGGGGGAGAGAAGGAAAGCAGGACAAACTGAGGCATCAAAGCAGCCTCATCTGGGACTAAACTCCAACTCTCCTTCATCTCCCCAACACGAGACATGAAGACAGACTATCTCCATCCCAGGCATGTGGGGGACAGGCTGGGTACTACCAACAGCTTGCATGACCACGAGCAACTCATTCCTCCTTCCTGCCTCGACTTTCCCAGTGCCATGAGCTGGGAGCCCAGATTTCCAAGCAGAGGGGTCAGAGCAAGCCTCCAACATGTGTGCAGATGCATTCCTAGATCTGCGTTTCTTGGAGGCATTTGGCTTCCGAAACCAACCCACCGGTCTGCCTCAAATCTGTCTGATCCACCCAAAAGTGGATTGACTTCCAATCGGGGACATCTGCCACATCAAGGTATATTTTTAGAGAGGAAAAAGGGGGAGAACAAGGTTCAAGTGGGCCAAAAGGCTCCCAAGCCAAGAGGTCCATCTCTAGCCCAGCCCTGATCCCCTGCCACTCACCCCTGCTCCTCCATCATCTCCTGCAGCTCCATGCACTTCAGCTCCACCCGCCTCTTGCGTTCATGGTCCAGGATTTCCCGGTGAGCCTTCTTCACCAGGCTGGTCTCCACCAGACGCACCTCCTCCTCACCTTTGTGCCACGTACCCGAGGCACCGGGCTGTGAGAAGCCATTGGAGGCTTCCTGGGGCGAAGGCACGTCGGCCCCATTGTTGTAGAGAGCCATGCTGGTGTGGGCAGCCTCACCACCTGCAGCACCTGGGAGGGAGAGAAAGAGTCAGGGGTCAGACCCTGCCGCAGATTCCCTCTCTTCCCACAGCAGTGAGGGGACCCCATCAGGACTTGAATGCAAAATTTGTCTCAAAAGACATGAGGGCACAGCAGGTTGATGGGGAGGACAACTGAGAGATCTGGGTCTTCTGCCAGCGCCCTTCCTGCCCCTTGCCTCAGCTTCCCCATCTGCAAAGCAAGGCCCGGGATGTTCCCATCACCACAGCGTGAGGGCTGGCTTGTGGGAAGGAGAGGAGGATGCTCTGCGCCAGCCTCGTATCGGGAAAAGCCTGGCAAAGCATGGGTCTGTGCCACCCAGAGCCATACGGGAGCAGCGGGACAGGCGGGCAGGGGTCTCTCTGAGCCCCGCAGACCTCTCAGGCGGTGGGGGTTTGGGCCAGGGTTTGGGACACCCCAGGCACTGTCCCCACCCAGCAAGGGGCTGGACCCAAAGACCTCAGATATCCCCAGCTGCACTGGCCAGTGAGGATGTAGCTGTGGGACATCTTGATGTCAGGCCCAGCCAGCAGATGCCTGCTGATGCCCTCTGGCAATGGCCTGGCACCCTCTGGCAATGGCTCAGCACCCTCCAGCAATGGCCTGGTGCTGGCTGCAAGGAGAGGTGAGGCTCTCCACTGCCTGCTGCCTGCCTGCCTTCTCCATGCTCTTTCATCTTCATGCGTCCCTGCCTCCTTCTTCCACTACCACAATCAATGTGTCCTCACTTGGCTTCAGAAATAACCCCTTGGAAGAGGACAACCATTCCCAAGTGGCACTGCCACGCTGGGGCTCCAGCGGATGCTCCCCAAGCCTGGGGGAGGAGGTGCTCCCAAATCTCCTGGATTAACCAGAGACACAACCCTGTCTCAGCAACCTCAGGCCACTGGCACATGGCTGACCACCCAATTCCTCGGTCTCCCCATCCTGCGATACCCCAGTTGCCCTGCCCACAGCACCGGCACTCTCCCTAGCACCCACTGGAGATCCACTGCTTTAATCCCCTGCAGAGGCACTGCCTGGGCTTTACTGTGGGCTCCCATAAACGCTGCTCTTGCGAAGTCCTACACAAAGGGAAATGACTGAGAATGAGGGCAAAGAACCCTCCCTCACTCTCCAAGCTGGCTTTGGGCTCAGAAATGCAGTTTTTGTTAACAGCCACTTCTTTGAGGTGTTTCCATCCCAGGGACACTGCCGGAGAGGTTTTTCCAAGGATGGGTGATGCCTGCACACCGTTGCTTATGTGGGAAGCAGCCAACCCTCGCCCGTGATGCCCAGGCTGTCTGACACATGCTGCCCAAGGAGCACGGGGCTGAACGCTGGCCTGGGGAAGGAGGAATCCCTCAGCCGAGCGCGGGCATGAAGGCAGGACAAACAGATCATGGACGGATCTGCACTGTTTCAAGCCCAGGGAGGGCTCATGCTGTGCCATTCCAATGGGATAAGGGGCGGTTCAGAGCCTTCCACAGCCATGCCTGGTGGGACAGAGCCAGGGTGGGAATGCAGATCACCCATGAGAGGCTTTGAGAATGTTTCTCTGCTGTTTGAGGAGAGAAAAAGCCCTAGGGCCCTCCCTGGGGTGGTGGGGGTCCCAGTCCGGTGGCATCTCCCACCCCGCGGCATCCCCAAGGGACATCCCCGGCTTTCCCGCTGCCACTGGCTGCCCCACACACTCATTTATCTCCTGATGAGCCTGCCCGGGGAGGATGGCAGCTGACTGCTTAATTACAAGGCTTTTTCTTTGCTTTTTTTCCCCATTATTATCGTGCAGAGAGGAGCCAGCAGCCCTTATTTCCACAGAGCACAGAGGAGTGGGCAGTGGGAGACTGCCAGTGGAGCAGAAGCCAGCCAGGGCTCTGCACCCCCTGGATTCTCGGCCCTGCTAGAGCAACTGGAGGGTCCCTCAGTCCCCCCTTGCCTGCAGCAGGCAGGGCAGCATCTACATTTCAAGTCCCATGACACCCCACAGCAAGAGGCTGCCCTGCTCAGCCATCCCTCCTGGGGGGAGGCCCCCAGCCCCCTCCATGTCCCAGGGTGGCCCTGGGACAGAGACAGGAGAGATGCCGCAGAAAAACCTGTCTTGGGGCTCCTCTTTCTCCTATCAAGGCACGAAGTCAAAAATCAGAAAAGAAATTTGGGAATGGGGGAAGCTCTGCACTGAGAAACCTCCAGCCACCGAGGGGCTCAGGGAAGGAGAGGGGGAAGGGGAGGATGCTTTCCACAGCAGCCTCTGCTTGTTTTTCCCCAGTGGGAATTAATCTTATCCTGAGCCCAGCAGTGGGTGAATTCATTGCTGTGAAACCTTGAGAGCGTGTGGGATATACAGCAGAGAGGTAGATGGAGGAGCATGTGAGATAAACCAGCAGCTGGACGGGTACCTGCGGGTAAGGGCTCTGTGGTGGGGGAGGCAGAAAACACTCCCCATCTCTGTTAAAAGGATGTGGTTGGAGATATCCCACTTGCACCCGGGGCCAGGCAGGTGGAAGCGGCCCAGGGATGGACACTGCACTGCTTCCCGGTGTCCCCTCAGCCATGAGCAATGTCCACCGTGAGAGCTGATACCAGCCACCCTGCCTCAGCCACAGCACAGGCAGGAAAACAAAGGAAAAGAAAAACCACCTGCAACCCCCCTCTGGCTACTAAACAGCAAAGTGGAGCCACAGGAAAGAGCTCTGGGTCAAAAACAGAGCCAGTCCTACATCTCTGGTGACAATGGGGACAAGGCACTGGGGCAGAGGAGCCCATGTCCCTCAGGCTGGGTCTGTGCACTCCCTGTACCCAAAGGAGACCCCCAGTGACACCCTGCACAAGGGCAGCCCTTCACCCACAAGGGACAACTTGGGGACACAGGGTGGCCGTCACCACCATAACCTCCATCCACCTGGCCACCACGCGGGGACCATCCAGCTCTGCCAGCTCATGTCAGCACCAAACCTGACACTAAACCTGTCAGCGAAGGCAGCACAGCCCTGCCCAAAGAGCAGCAGCTTCCTGACTGGCTTAGCGCTGCCCCTGATAATAAAGATGATGGTTAAATATTTCATTATCTGCAGTAATTACCCACAAATCATTAAGCACTGGCAGCCCACTGCCCGGCCGCCTCGCCGAGAGGGAGAAGAGGGTTTTTGGGGTGAGCGCTACGCCATGTCTCCATGGACTCTTAAAGGCTGCAGGATGTGGGGACAGTCCCCAGCGTCTGTCCCCACCACCCAAATCCCATTAGTGCCACCCAGGAGGGCTCAAAACCCTGGAACCATGGCCTGGAGCTGCTGGCGAAACTCTCAGGCAAATCCCTCTCTTCCCACTTTGCAGAGCCATTCACCCACGTGTTTTGGGAGGCCGACCTTCCTCGCTGGCACTCCGCATGCCACCTTGGGGCTTGGGGAGGTCAAAACAGCTTTTCGGTTTGCAGGTGCTTTCTGCTGCCTGGGTGAGAGCTTTTGGAAAGGTTCAGAGCTGCCCCATCTTCATTCTCATTCTCATCCCCATCCTCCATCTCCAACCTCCATCCTCATCCCTATTCTCCATCCTCCTCCTCACGCCCGTCCTCCACCCCCACCCCACGCCTCACCCCAAGCACAGGCACCAGCCCAGCACGCCAGGACTCCCCCTCCCTTCCCAGCCCTGCAGAATTGCACCCAGGGTGCGGATGACCCAGGCCAGCGCTGCCAGCCCAGGGGAGGCCAGGACAGATGGAAGGACAGACAGACCACACTGTGCCCCTGACACACAGCCAGGACAGGCCCCGCCAGCTCGGGGTGCAAGGACCAGCCTCGCCATCCTGCCAGGCTTTGGGGCTGTCTGGTTCCCAGCCAGGCTTTGACCAGAGCCCCCCCCTGTGGGCTGGGACCCCTTGGTGCCTGGTGGGGTGGCCCTGGGATGCAGCTGTCCCCATGTCCCAGCGCCGGGGCTGCCCAGCCTGGGCTTTGAAGGGAGGCTCAATGGTTCAGGAAATCCAGCCCAAAGAGAAAGAAGAAAGCGAGGAAAACGAGGGGGAAAAAAAAAAAAAAAAGTGTTATTTCACCAAACTGCTTTTTCCCTTTTATTTTCCAGCCCAGAAACAACCCCCTTCCCAGTTGACTCTGCTCAAATCCCCCCACGGGTGCCGCTCAGCTCCCCGGCTGTGCCTGCAGCACCCTGGGCACGGGGCTGTGCCGGAGGCAGCTGCCCGTCCCTCCTGCCCGCTGCCGCCGCAGGGCCCTGCCATGCCGTAATGCGGATGAAGCCGCTTTCCCGGCGGGAGCGGGGATGGCAGCGGGGGGCTGGCGGTGCCTGGATGCTCTCCCGGCATCTCTCCCTCGGCAGGGGAAGGCGGCAGCGGTGCCTGGGCATCCTCCCCCCCTGCCTCGGTGCTAATTAAAGCCGCCTCCGGCCAGTGCTCGATTAATTCTCGCCACATCCAGCTGCACCAGCCAGGGTGACAGCGAGCGCCCGCGTGCCGGGGGTGCGGGCACGGGATGCAGGCAGCGCGCCCAGGATGGCGGCAACCTGGGCCACTCATGCGCTGAGCGTGCCAGAGCTCAGTCCCAGCAAGCAGGGCACGGCCCAGCTGAGGCGAGGACCCTCCAGCCCCACCGGAGAGGGTGAGAGAAATGGCTCCTGTGGTTCCCCTGCCCAACGGGGTCTCATCAAGGCACACCACCGCCTACCAAAATCATAACCCTGCCTCCAAAGCTTTTACAGTCCCGTCCTGGGCTGCTCCCTGCCTGTGCTGTGGGGATGGCTGAGAGAGGGGAATTTTTTTGCGTCACAAAAATACCAGAACATCACGGCAAAGCAGCCAGCCTCCTCTAAACACCTGGCCAGAATTAGAAGGAGGAAAAGTCCGGGGTTGCTCCGTTAATTGGGCCGACCTTCTCTGGAGCTGCCTTCCACCAGCCCCCGAGTGCCAAAAAACCATGAGTCAGACCTCCAAGAAGGAGAAAAAGAAATACAAAATCGTCTTTAAAAGTGCAGCTGGTCTGGGACTCATTAGTGCTGCCTCCCAGCCCCGAGCCAGCAGGGATCCTGCCC